TCAACTGCTCGCTCTCTTCTGGCATTGTCCCTGCTGACCTTAAACATGCCACTTTAGTACCTATGCTGAAAAAAAACATCTCTTGACCCGTCTTCCCCCTCTAACTATCGTCCCATATCCCTGCTTACTTTTTCCTCAAAGCTTATGGAAAGACTTGTCTTTACCCGTATGTCTCACTTCCTCAATTCCAAATCTCTCCTTAACCCTCTTCAATCTGGCTTCCGCCCTCTCCACTCAACTGAGACTGCTCTTATCAAAGTTACTAACGACCTAATCGGAGCTAAATCCAAAGGCCACTACTCCATACTAATTAAATCCAAAGGCCACTACTCTATACTAATTCTTCTTAACCTCTCTGCTGCCTTTGACAACATTGATCATGCTCTCCTTCTTCAAACTCTGCAATCACTCGGTCTCTGTGACTCTGTCCTCTCGTGGTTTTCCTCTTATTTCTCCCAACGCTCATTTAGTCTCTCCTTTTTTTATTGAAACCTCCTTCCCTCATCCTCTCTCAGTTGAAGTCCCCCAAGGTTCTGTCCTGCAACGTATCACTGCTTGCCTTTCTTCTATCTCTGACTGGATGTCCTCCCACTTTCTGAAACTCAATCTCTCTAAAACTGAACTCCTTGTCTTTTCTTCTCCTAATACTGATCCTCCTCTTTTGTTCTCCCTTCAAGTTAGTGGTAACCACATAAGACCATCCTTAGGCCTCACATCCAATATGTTGCCAAATCCGGTAGATTCCACCTTAAAAACATAGCCCGCATCCGCCCCTTTATTACGCAAGATGCTACCAAGGAGCTTGTCCCTGCTCTAGTAATTTCCCGCATGGATTATTGTAACCCTCTCCTAATTGGTCTTCCCAAAAGCTGTATTGCTCCGCTACAGTCTGTAATGAATGCTGCCGCTAGACTGATTTTCCTCTATAGTTGGTCCTCTCACACCTCACCCCTCTGTCAGTCATTACATTTGCTTCCTGTATCCTATAGGAGTCCATTCAATGTACTAACCCATACTTATAAGGCACTGAACAATTCTAGCCCCTCTTATATCTCTTCACAGATCCATAGGTATGCCCCTTATCGGTCTTTACGCTCTGCAAGTCACCTTCTCCTGTCCACTGATCACACCCGTATGGCCAACTCACACTTGCAGGACTTCTTGCGGGCGGCTCCCTTCCTATGGAATAGCCTGCCTACCTCCATCAAACTTTCCCCTAGTCCTCAATCGTTTACGAAGTGCCTTAAAACCCATCTCTTTACGAAAGCTTATGGCCTCCCAGAGCAACCTCTACCTCACATACCTCTCTCTTGCTCTCTCCTAAAGGGCAGCACTCTACTCTCACCTCCAGCTCTGCTTCACTCCCACCTTATTTGATTGCTATTTCCTGTCCTAATGTGTTTTATACCCCACCTCCTACAGACTGTAAGCTTGTTTGAGCAGGGTCCTCTTCAACCTATCGTTCCTGTATGTTTTCTTGTAATTGTCCTCTTTATAAAAACAGCCAAATGGGCATTAATATTGCTGACTTGTAGATATTTGCAATATGCCAATTTTTCCGTAAAACCTGACATTTACATTGAATTTGCTATAAAATTCCAGACATACTTGACACTAAAAGCACACACTCACTTTATATTCTAGTTTTATTGAAGAGGGAATTGGAAAGAAAATAATTATAAATAATTATAAATGTACCAGACTCATATTTCAATTGTAAGATTGAAAACGTCCGTTGCTAATAATTAATTTTGGTTACAGAGCATCTATGTTGGAAGTCACCAAGACAAGTATGGGCCTGACATATGTGTCTTGAGGATCTAGGTGTATCCTCCCTAAATTACATGAAATTTGCACTCATTAATTTCATTTATTGTTATCACATATATAGCTGTCATTAACATAGCTGTGTATTGTGTATGAACAATGAAATATCGGGGAGAGAAAATCCACTATGTATTTAAAAGGTCACTGTAGCACTATAACCATGTCTTCTCTGGCATTGATCCTCTATTCAGTGTTAAACCAATTTTGAGCAGTTTAACACTACACAAGGGTCCGTGGCCACTAATAGCTCAGCCCCTACTAGAGGTATGTCTAACTCTTCAAACCGGCACACAGTTTTCAAGATTTCTTTTTTTTTAAAAGATTTAAAAGGAGAACCAGCACAACCTAGATCTGCCTACAATCTGATGGCTAAATAAACATTATCTATAGTTTGTGCATTTTTTAATTCTTTACAATTTATTTTTTATTTTTTTTTACATTGTTTGTTAAGCTACCACCAGTGTTTGAAAGTTAATTTCCGGTTATCATTCAGTGTAAAAGCTGACATCCCATTAAACATCTATAAACCACCTGGAATGCTCAAAAAAATAAATGAGTTTCTAATTTTCTCATAATCTTCTCGTAAAAAAAAAAAATTATTATTTTATTTTTCCTGTCTCATCATGACATCATCATGAACTGACACATTGAATGGCTGGTCTCTCTCTATGCATGAGGAAAAAAATAATAATTTCCTTAAATGGAAAAATATTAATTTCTCAAATTGTTTTACATTTGTATTTGACTAAGTAGCTATCTTTTGCCAGAATAATTTAAAACGGATATATCAGAGTATTTAATAATCGTTGGGAGAATTCCTAGATTTTTTTCAGAGACTAAGTACTTATCCATATGTGCAATGCAGAAATTTAAAAAAAAAATGCTAACACAAAACATGGAAAAAGTGTAAAGTATATTAAAATAAAAGTCTTCACAATTTTTGTTTGGCCTTATTCATGCAAAAATGTAAAATACATTGATCTGACATGCCTGGTTCTGCACTGCATAGTAAAATATTTTGTACCTATTTGAGATAATTTACTCAATTAAATTTTTTTGTTGTTGTGTATTTGTGCAGATAGTACATTGTCCTTTTGGTTGCTGCAGTGGTATTGGATGGCTAACGGATTTAAACACAAAATCTTGGATTAACCTATTTTGATCTATACCACTGCTATATTTAGTCTACACTTTATTTAGTCTACCTCAATACAAAAAGAAAGCGGTTTGAGCCTCCTTTTCCTACAAGGCACCGCAGTTATGGAACAACCTCCGGCACACTTTCAAACCTTCCCCAAGCCTAAATCCTTTAAGAGATCCTTCTCTACATACCTCAAAACAGATTGCACCTGTCATGGTTGATTATATATTTCCTGCCTGTTCTATGTTAAATTTTGTATTTATTGTGTATTAATGTTGTTTTTGTATTTTATTGTACCCTATTGTATCAATGCAATGTTTTGTGGACCCAGGACATACTTGAAAACAAGAGAAATCTCAATGTATCCTTCCTGGTAAAATATTTTATAAATAAATCAATGTACTCGCCGAAAAGTACATTAACGGAAAAGTAAAGGAAAGTTAGTGATGTGGTAGTTTTACTAGATGGAACTTGGATCAGAGTAAGTTTAGGCAAACACGTTTTGCTTTACTGATACAAATAAATGTTCACTGCCCCTTTAAAATGCACACAAACCATTCTTAACTCACCTACTTTTAATTATTTCTAAACAAAGCAAAAAAATCACAAGTTCACTCACATATTTCAGAGCCTGATCTGCTCAATGTATCAGGCTAATGCTGCTGATCGTAGCACGGTATATACGAAAATACCAGAGAAACATAGAAGATCTAGACGTTAAATGTATCAGTAGATGTATGATCGCTTTTTTTCCCAAACCATTACTAACTGTATGTTGATTGTACAGACTGGATTTGCACGTTGTTCTAATAATTGGACAATAATGGGAATGTTAATGTGCGGTATATAGTTACAATAAAAATGAAAGTGAATCTGTTACTTATCTCGGTGTCCCTGGCACTTTGCCTAGAACTAGTTAGCAATAGGTTCAGCTTCAGTGCTACTACAACTATGTCATTTCTTGTAGAAAACAAACACAAATTCAAAGATCCTATTGAAAAGGTATTAAGGATCTTTCTTTTGGCTGAGATGATAAAAATATGTTGTGAGACATTTATCAATATGTTTGTAATGTCACTCACATGTAGGTGAAATGTTTAAGATCTAACAAATATATCACCAGTAACAGAAAGCTTGTATCGCACAAAAAAAATCCCACAAACGCTTGTCCCATCATGTTATGAGAAAATCCAACTGTAACAGCAAAAATAAAGTTATACATTTACAGGATATTTTACTTATTATTGTAAACACTGTTGAGCAATTTTAAACTTATTATCCAACTCCCTGAAATGGAATGACATTAAAGTCTGATAATCAGGGGAATTGTTGTTCAGAAACACCTACAGTGCCAGGATTAACCAACATTATGCTTCTATTTTTCCGAACCTTTTTTCACCTACTTACCTTTGCCCCTGTATATCAGTTTCTAAACAACATTTAAAGGGACATTCTGCCCCCCCCAAAAAAGAAAAATCATTGTTTAGTAGAAATACGCCAAATGAAACTGTGTATTCATTTAATTATACATTTTTTCATTGGGGATATATCTAAAAACTGCTTGTAATAGCCTTTACAAGCCCTCCTCTTCTTACCCAGCTCAGACTTTCTGTAACTGTCCAATCACAGACTTCCCAATACAGCTCAATGAGCAGTTTTTGCAAGGCAGGTGATCTGAGCAATTGCTGCCTCTTGAGTTTAGGTCCACTTAGCTAACCAAACCAGGAAGCAACCGAACCGGTTGTCAGATTGACAGCCAGGGCGATGTAACCAATATAATTTATAAAAGTGCTAATTTCTACTAAAATCTGCATTTTTTGCAAAATTAAAAAAATAGGCCACTCTTCACAAAAAGTTTTTCCGCAAACTAAAGTGCTTTAGAGGTCCGGAGCATCCATTTAAAGAAACTTTCCAAATCCCTAAAGTATTTCAGCCTGCTCATGAACTTTAGGGTTAACAGTGTCCCCTCTTTCTTAACATATAAAAGTGCCAGTCATAGAACCTCTAGACCAGGCTTCCCCAAACTCCGGCCCTCCAGATGTTGCTGAACTACAACTCCCATGAGTTGCAATAGATATGCTGAGAATCATGGGAGTTGTAGTTCAGCAACATCTGGAGGGGCGGAGTTTGGGGAAGCCTGCTCTAGATTGTAAGCTCGTTTGAGCAGGGCCCTTGTCTACCTATTGTTCCTGTGTCACTGTGTAATTGTCTCATTTATTGTAAATTTCCCACCTCCACCCTTTCAGAATATTGTAAAGCCCTGCGGAATTAGTTGGCGCTATATAAATACCAATAATAACAGAATTAGCACGACTGAGATTTTCACACAACCCAATAACTATCATCCAAAAGCAATTTATTCTGCCTTTTTTTAAATCTTAACTATATTATAATTTTTTTATTTACATTACACAATGGCAAATTGAGAGAATACCATACAAGTTAATTTGACTCCCGCAGTGCAGTAGGTCCACATATAGCACTCAGAATGCCTTAAAGCATATTTTTTTTATTGTTGTTGTATCACTTATCAAACTACTGCAGTTTTAACTGACAATATATTTTTGTTATCTTGTCAGTATGCAGGTGAATTCCATTTAAATACGTTGAATTCTCAGATATTATATTAACCATAAATCATTGTAAACAAGGTATATGTATTGTTTTTACAGGTGCAGTAGGCAAAAATAATATTTGTAGGGAGAGTCTAACTCCATAAGTCTTTTTCATAAGAAAATGACTCTCGCTATTTTAAGAAACAACAAAAATAGTGAGATCAGAGTTTTTCACCAAGTTGAGAATTGTCTGGAATTCAATGTGATTTTTAAATATTGGGCCCAAACGATTTTAGTGAATATTTTCCAATTAGGCTATTTTTGCCTAAAATTTAAAATATGTTGCACAATTTTTAACAATTACCAGTTTAGATAATAACTTTGAAAATTCCAACTAAGTTTCTCTTGTAGGAGGGAAAGCGTCAAGAGTCCGAGCAAAGGCATTGTTTTAAAATTAACATTTCTATAACTCTGGAACAATGACATTAACCAAATGCAAAGACAACAGATGCCAAGCAGAATGGGTTGCTGGGACAGACGCAGCAAGCTGAATTGTCATATCAGCCCTTCGGGAATGGAATCACAGAAGTGCTGAGTCTTAATTCTGCAGCGCTCCAGCTTAAAACACGTCATGACTGGAGACAAAGGAAACAAGGAACCAATGGCGACTGCCAAGTGCACGAGAAGCTTTAATACGGCTGCAATAAGCAAATGGAATACCTCCCAAAATTATTCACTACTCTTAACAAAGAGCTGTGGTGAGATAAAAACAGAACTTTCAACTTAAAGTCTAATTGGCTGAGTTGGAACAAAAAAACTCCAGTTTTGCTGAATTTGAGACTTTTCCCCAGTATTTTATCCTTAATCGAGAATGGCCAACAATTATAGATGCAGTTTGCATAAGGACTTGGTCACAGTGATAAATCCACCTGGCAGACTCTCAGCTGTTGTCAAACAAATTCCCATAATGCTTTGGCCCTCAGTTGTAGTTCTACAACAGCTGATGGGACTATCTGTTGGGTACTACTGGCCTAAACATGACAAGTGGAAAAAACAACAAAAAATCGTCATTCCAAATTGTGCCACAAATGGTATCCAGTCACCCATAAAAAAGTGACTTAGCAATGTTTCAGTCTTTAAGAGTTACTCCAAGCAAACACCAGGGTATCAAGAAAACACTGGTTTTGGTTAATTAAAGGGACACTATAGTCACCAAAACAACTTTAGTTTAATGAAGCAGAGTTAATATAAAGATCATGCCCTTGCAATCTCACTCCTCAATTCTCTGCCATTTAGGAGTTAAATCCCTTTTGTTTCTGTCTATACAGCCCTAGCCACACCACCCCTGGCTGTGACTGACACAGCCTGCATAAAAACAAAATTGTTTCATTTTTAATCAGAAGTAACTTTAAAATTTCTTATCTCCTGCTGTGTTGAACTTGATTCACAGAGGAGGCTCGTGTAGGGTTTAGGAGGCGATTAACAGAGCAGGAGATCAGAAATTATAAATGAAACAGTATTTTTTTAATACAAGAAATTTAAACATTACATGACTCTTTACAGGAAGTGTTTAGAAAGGCTGTATAAGCCACATGGAGGCAAGTATGGCTAGAGCTGCATAAACAAAGTGATTTAACTCCTAAATGGCAGATAATCGAGCAGTGAGACTGCAAGGGTACACGATCTGTACACCAAAATGGCTTCATAAAGGTAAAGATGTTTTGGTAACTATAGTGTCCCTTTAAAATAACCTTTCCCTGTAACTAAAATAAAGCAAAAACATACCTCATATTCCATCAACCAAGATCAAATTCAACCCTCACCAGATCCTCCTCCATTGACATCAATCCCCCAGTGGCCGGAGGAGGGATGTAGGGTGAGGAAGGCCTCAGGGGAGCAAGGGGATCACGGTGCCTTTACTGGTCGACACCGGTCTATAGCATGCTGTGTGTGCGGACGACAAATGTTCAATAAGCCCAGAATGGACATGAGCCAGCCCGGAACAGTTGTTCCAGGTGGCTAATTATACCCCAATAACGCTGCCAGGGTTGTAGTTACACCTCTGGCAGCAATTGGTTAAACTCTGTATAATTAGAATTTCATAGCAAAACAATGCACATACAGACTCCAGGTACCATGACCACTTAAAATCTTTGAAGTGATCATGGTGCTTGGCGTTACCTTTTAAAATGGCCTTTGTCTAGAAATATCGCGTAGAAAGTTTTTATTAGAATTAGATACTTGCTTTTATACTGTGTCATTTAACAGTCTGTTATCATCACAAATGTACCAAATGTCCGCCCATTCTATAGTATTATAAATTCTCACAGTAAATAGGGGAGGACTTATCTTGTACAGTAGCATAATAAAAGTGACAATACAAATTTAAAAGCAAACAAGAGCTTGTAATATTAAAGTGACACTATAGTCACCTATACAGCTTTTGTTTACTGAGGCAGTTTTGGTGTATAAGACAAGGATGATGGGCAGTTCGATTGGCATCTTAGAATACAAGAGACTGAATGGAATAAATATATGAAACATTAACATTAATATAAATTTATAGCAAATGTGATTTTATTTCAATTCCCCGTCCTATTATGAATGTATAATAACAATACATGACTTGGGAAAACAGGAAGATTGCTTTTCAGTTTTGTTTGTCTGTTTGTTTTTTGAGGTGTCATTCATGGACTGTCAGATATATGCACTGCGTGATTTTACACCCACTGCTACATAAGTTATCCATACAGACAATGACTATATAATTGCCAGTCAGACATTATTTATGAACAAGTAACCTTCTGCATTATCATCCTGAACTTTAGTCTGAAGTTGGAAAAACTGCTGTTGATTTTAAAAAATAAAATGAAAAAAAAATAAAATATTACATTTAGATAAATTACAAGAACATTATTATTTTTCCAACAAAGTGTGGGCTAGGCAGAGAAAAGTACAATAACCTCTTTCATTTGAGCATTTCAGATTAAGCTTGTGACTCTCTTTCAGGCTATTCTGAGCACATTGAGCCCAAGGGTAAGTGATATACACAGTTCGACAGAACGGATTCCTACTTCTACGAACAAAGTCTACTGTAAAGAACCGATGTTAAAAATGCACTAAAGGCCTAGACAAGTCTTTCTGTAACTCAAACAGTTTAAGTGAATACAATTCACTAACTCCCATCTCCTGTAGAATGAAACACCTGTGGTTAAAGAGCTTGTATTTCAAGGGATCCCCCAATCTAAGAACTAAACTTCATCAAACAGTCCAGTGTTAACAATTGTTATCATTTCTATATACAACGACAACAGATTCCACACCTCTCTAAGTAATTAGCTTGATTTGTTTTAAATCCCATTTGCTTACAATCTATTCTAGGCTGGAGTGAATTTGTATTAACTAAGTCCCATTTATTTTATTTCTCTGGGATACGTGAAACCCAGCATGACGTGGCAATGAAGAACTCACCACTGTTATAGAAGTACTGTGGAATTAATTGGCATCGTTTGAAGCTATATTGCTGTTCATTTGATACCATATTTGCTGCCAAAAATATTGGAACACCTGACAGAAAATACATTTACAGGTTGAAAATTCAAAGCCAATTTTAAGGTCAGAAGAGCCAAACTGGAAAAATTTTCAAAGTCACTGGCCTTAAAGTTGAAATTTACTTTGAGAACTCAATTTAGTGCATAATCACTTTAGACTGCTGAGATGGGGAAAGTCAATAAGTCTAATACATTAAAGCCAACGAGCTGGATTGGTTACTTAAAAATCACTATTAGACCTATTAACAAATTATTGCGTTAGGCTCTATGGACCTGTGCAACGATGAAATTCATTTATCAACCTAAAATTTAATTTAATCCTCTGTATATGCTCCATTGTATAGTGTAACTGTAGAGAAAAACGCTCCCGGCTATGGTATAATGACTTCTTCCTTACTAGAGACAATTTGAGTTTGCTTTGAACTGTTTTCCACAAGTGGTCAAACCCTAATCTAATATTGTTTACTGACCATTTTAGTAGATCAAGTTTCAAAGTCATCTGAGTATTTATAAACAATATTGCAGAACACAAATTATCCTGACAAAAATTATAATGGGACACCTTCTATGGACATATAATCCCAGGTGGGTTTTTAGGCAAATAAACAATATTATAAATTGAATCAATATCGACACACACTAAAAATGAAGAGAAGAAGATTAACCCTAGTGTAGTAATAGCTAGTTAAGCTTTTCTCATGATGTTTAGCATCCTTATAAACATGCATTGCAACAGCTGGATAACCACATTAGACAACAGCTGGAGTGTCAACGTTAGCCATCATGTCATGGTAGGAGATCAAAGTGATGACAAGGACACGTCTTGAAGGAGACACACATTTGGTAGTCACCACAGATGGTGACATCAACAGAAAGAAGGTTCACTTTTAACCCTATTAAAACTAAAATTAAAAGACACTTGAAAACGAGAGGATTTTGGGAAAGGGAAATGAAAAAATAAATTGTTACAGGTGTGTTATGTGTAATATAATATTCTAAGTTAAACTAAATTCTATCTGTTGTTCTTAAAGTAAACTATTTAATGAGAGTTTCAACTAATAAGTGCAGACTGCCAGCTCGGAAATGTTTAGAAAATCTCTCACACATTACAATGACAACTCAATGAACCACTCAGCTCCTGTTTCAAAAGAATAAGCTCCCTCCCCAGCACATTCCAGACCGAGAGAGATTAGCGCACACAAGAAGAGCTGGACAGCAATACAAGACAATCATCAAAAATAGCTTACATTTGGCTTGTCAGCACAGTTTAAAGATTAGTTTATGAATCTATGGTACATTAGCACTCAAGTGGGAGCCACCACCTGATCTCACCAACATTCGAAAACCTCAAGTACGCCAACTAAACTTTTTGAATATTGGCAAATTGTTTCATTTCTTTAAAAAAAACATTGCTTGACTGATCTTGGGTCTAATAAGGGAGGTTTGAGAAAGAATATCACTATTGTGTACAATATATCTCTAAGTGTACTTTTGTGTCCTGCTTTGAGTGTTATAGTAAATCATTTTTTATTAAATATATAAATGACTTGATTCAAACGATATCTATTTCTTCAAGTATTATATGTTAGTCACCTGAGTCTAGGGTCTTTTTCTGACATATAAAGTGAAGTATCTCTTTATAATTAGCCATATAAAAGCCACCTATTGATTTTTGGAGCATTGAAGCAATTCTGCAGACAGATTTATTGAATATGGCTGGGGAGATAAGGTTTGCAAACTAGGCCGAGACTGCAACAGTCAGAAGTGTCACATTGTATGAACTGACACACACTCTGACACACACAAAATCCCTTAATATGATTGAATGCACCACTTGACACCCTAAGCGCCAAATAGTAATTAACTTAAAATCTTAACCTGGACTGTGTAAGGTAAATAGTTTACACAAGGGAAATCTAGTAATTTAAGCCATATATGCTCAACGCCATGTTAATAAGCTACTAGTGTGAATGTTTGTGTGGCATTAAAACATTCAGTGTCAATTGAAGTGTACTGGCTTGTTCTGAATAGTGAATATACAAGTCACATGTCAGTCAGGTGTACAATTTTCACACCTCCCAAGGTGGACATATCCTATGGCAATGATCCATTTTCAACAGTAATTGAAATATGGCTTACAAGGGCTCGATTTCTCCAAATGTTACCATGCAACAAGCAGGAAAAGAATTTCCAATATTTGCAAAGAAATAAAATACTTATGTTAAACCAACCACCATGAGAATGTACAATAAACACATATAAATTAACATTTTATACACACATAATATTTCTAAAACAGCACTGAAACAATTATACCATAAATATATTTTTTTCTGGACAGCTATAATACCCATAACATTTTAATAAACTCCCATATCTGACAGTCAGTCATTATAACACTGCCAACATTTTTATTTTTACTAGAGAAAGTTTCAGCAGGTGACCACAGAGTTATTTGTCCAGGATCCCAGAGCCTCAAGATGCAGGACGTGTATAGAATTCTAATCACTTGACAACAATCTACTGGAACTAAACAAATATAAAGTACAATTGCAGTCATTATAGAAGCTAAAAAAGTTAATGTTTCATCAAAAACCACAGAGGTTTTCAAACACACACACACACCACACCCCTGTTAATACAATCCTGCTAGTAAGTGAATGTTTCCACTCTGCTTAATGGTACAAATAAAATAATAATTAAATAATAGAAATAAATAGTCTAAAAACACAAGACACTAAATGCTTGGCCGAGTGACACATTCTTCAGATGAGGCCAATGCTGATAGGCTCCTACAGGCTGGAGAGGTAGGTGTACACTGCAGCCTGGCACACTGTGGGTTATTGATGCCAGGGCTTTGCCCCTTTAAGATCTGCAGATGTTAATGAATTGCAGATCCTTGCTTTCCCTTTCTGTAGAGATCAATGAGCCAGCTTGCCCTATTGCAGTGAGTGTACTGTATGGTGAAACAGTATAATATCACCACATGGGATAATATCCAAAGGCTGAGACTACAAAGCAAGCCTCACCATTCAAAGGGTAGATTCATTCCTGAAAGCATCTATCTAGGAGAAAGAAGAGAGAGCCCCCCGACCCCCCCTTTCTTTTTGCAAACAAACAGCCCCTTGCTACACAATAGCTGTATCTTTTTTCTATGCAGATTATACAGCAAGGTAAATGCTCCTACATTTCCTGTACCCAACACCCCAGGCTCAGTAATAAAGGTGAGATTTAAAGGTCCCACTTTTACCAATGGACCTGGGGGGAGGAGGGGAAGGGGGTGTACACATGCATGCAGCCATGCAAAGCACTCACCAGTACAATGGCAAATCTCTCCTCCAGTTCACCTGGTTCAGGCATGGGCAGTTTAAGTGGCATGTTGTGTGCTTTGAAATCAGTCTGATTGGAATCCATACTGCCTGCATTGCCCATGGTGAGGCCACCTTTATCCCCTGGCCAGCAGCAATCTGTGATCCAAAGCCACCAGCTACAGGAGTCTGTCCCCTCTCCCTGTGAAATCCCAGTGTGAGCAGTGATCCCAGCCACAGTCACAGCGAGTCTCAGCTACTACAGATAGAATCAGCTCCACTACAATAGATCCAAGGCTCCTTCTAGCACAATGCAGGCTCCTCTACCTTCCTGGCCCTTGCTGCCCTCCACAGAAAGCTGGACTTGGATCCTGTAGGGCAGGGAGAAAGCACAGATGCCATCTGCATGTTGCACAATTTGCTCACCACTCCCAGCCTGGTGCTGCTGCTGCTAAGTGTGAAAAGCACGAGAGGAATCACAGCAGCAGCAGAGCCTCAATAGAACGTGGAAACTCCCTTTATTGTACGAGGGAAAGAGAGATGCTCCCTCTAGTGGCCGCCTGGAAGCGTCCAGCGTGGGTTTATACAATTGTATCAGGAATTGGATGTTAGAGGATGGGAGATAAAATGTGTCTCTCTCAGTTGGTCTAAGAACGCTGATGAGGAATGATACAGGAATAAGCCAAGCTCTGAAAATAGCTCAAATACAGATATTTTTTTTTCTCATTTTCAATTTCTCCAATTCTACTTAATACAAAGGAAATATGGGCTAATATTTGCAATTCCTTTGTCAATTTCCCAAAATTCCAAAAAATTGCCCCAATACATGATGACACAGAAGTTCAAAATAAATGTTAGATAGCCATTAAAAAATAAAAAATAAATGTTGAGCTATTCGACAGGTCCTTCTGAAACTAATAAATGAATCCATTATTAGGTATTGTGTAATGCAAACTGTGGACGTTTTATAATATGCACACCGAAAGCGACTAAACATAAATGGACGTAGTGTAAGAAACACGACACTGACACATCACAAGGTAAATAAAATGATTCCGTAATTTATTTATTTTTTTAATTATTTATTTTATTGAGGCATGTGATTATGGTGGTACAGAAAAAAACGAGAGGGAGACTTGCAAGAGTTGTACAGATTAGGGTCATCATAACAGATTACAGAAATCTCCTAGGATTATCTACCTCATTTTATATTATATTAACAAGCTTAGACCATAGATGGATAACAGGTATAGTATTTACTAGGCAATGCACATTTCCTGATAAAATAGGCTCATAGATAAGGTTACATGCAGGTACCATATTTTGTTCACTGTTTACTTTATACATGCTTTAAGTACTTGCACTAATGGCATGTCTAAGTAATAGGAATAGCAGGCTTCAACATTGTATGCAGATAAGCAATTTTATATCAAACACTTCCTATTGTGAATTGTAGTTAGTAGAGCAGAAGGCTATGATTCACTAGTAGTGAGTATAGACCAGTGATTTTTGGGTTTAGGTCTAGCTAGGGCTAGGTAGTAAGGCAGCACAGTGTAGGTAACCATATGCCAGCAATAATTTTAAGAGCCCTGCAAGGGGTGACATAGTGGTTGCTTAAAGAGCAGTACATTACATTTAGCGAGTATTGTGGGAGCAGTCCTTGTGTACAGAGTTGCGGTGGGGAGGTCCGTCTGTAACGAGGCCGCAGGGCCGCGTCAGACGTGGTGCCGAGAGTCAGCCGACTCCCTTAGTCGGTAAGCTTATGGTGTTAGCTGGAGAGGCATAGGTGCTCCTCAGAGGTAGTGTCCGCAGATCGATGTTGCTTCTCTTAGTTGGGGTCTGTGTGCGATTGCCGCTGGAGGGTGGAGGGCTTGGTATGTGCTGGTTGACTCGTCGTTCTATGTGTGTGTTGCCGCTGCGACTTGTTTTCCCGCCTCTCCGGCTCCGGGCCTTGGTGAGAGCCCTCGCCTTGTGTTCATGGGTATTCCCGAACATGGAGGTTGTCTCAGGGGCCCGTGGTTCTCCCAGTCCCGGGTGTCCCCACGGGTGTATGGACAGCCTGGGGTAATCCCCCGGTGGGCTCCCAGCCCAGAAGGGTGTCGGGCAGTCAGAACAGCAGCTTTGTACACCTTCTGGACAGGTGATGCTGGCTTGGTTTCAGATTTGGGTTCGCAGCCTTCCCTCTGCTCCTGTGCTGGTAGGCCCAGGTTGCTCCACTCTAGTTGTGGCCCGGCGGCCATCTCGGTCGCGCCGTGCTGGTTGTTCTTGTGACGCTCGCCTATTTGTGGTGGGGCAAGCGGTTGCTGTCTGGCCTCCACCTTGCGCCAGAAGTTGTCAAGGATTGAGTCTAAGCCCTGCAGGGTCCACTGTTGTGGGTCTGTAGGCTCGGGGAGAAGAGTGGTGTCCGCCATGCTGGGTGCCGCTTTCCGTGCAGTCTCCCATTGCGCCCACTCTGGTCTTGATGTGCCCCTCTGGTACGGACCGCGATCACCCCCGATGGTCCAGGGGGTAGTAATGGGGTTCCTGCTTGCGTTGTGTCGGTTCTCGTGGCACCGGACCAGGAGATCGGCCGCCTCTCCCGCTCTACCGTCGCCAGGACTCATGGCGCAAGTCGGTCTGCCAGCCGGTCCCAGATCAATCCCAGACCGCAATGTCGGCTTGGTGCCCTTTCGTGGGTTAGGTGAGACTATTTGGAGTGCCGGTTTTAAGGGCTGAAAATGTCGTATTTTGCCCTATTGGCTGAGGAGAGCTGCAGTGGCACGTCTGTCTTTCGTCCTGGTCAGGCCCCCTCCACCCCCCATTCCGTAATTTTTAAAGAAGAGCGGTAACATCTCTGGAAATTGCACCATTAAAGATTATTCCAAGCACCATCACCACTTCACTGTTTTGAAGTAGTCATTGTGTGTGGGGGTCTGTAAGTGCAGCATTTCAATAAGAACTGCAGCTCATTCTGAGATTTTAAGGTATATCCTCTTCCACCAGCTTTATTAGTTTGGAATTAGCCAGCACAGAAAAAACTTTCTGGGCTGGCTAATGTCAATTCTCTACATTTTTCTTTGCTAGTCTGCAGCCATGCCTGGATCTCGGTGTCTGTCAGGATAAGTGGCAAACTGTTGCTGAACGATTTGCTGGTGCCAGGGACTGGTGCCATCAGTAAGCTGTAGTGGTTATGATGCTTGGAGAGTAATGCCTTAAAGGGACACTATAATCACCAGAACAACTACAACCTAATGTAGTTGTTCTGGTGAGTATAATCATTGCCTTCAGTCATGTTATATGCAAACACTGCCTTTCACATAAAAGGCAGTGTTTACATTGCCCCTATAAGGACACCTCCAAGTGGCCACTCCTCAGATGGCCACTGCAGGTGCTTCCTGGCTCAGTGCCGCACAGTAGGCAGCCCTGCCGTTCAGCGTCCTCACGCTCTGTATAGGGACGCTGAATTTTCCTCATAGAGATGCATTGATTCAATGCATCTCTATGAGGAGGTGGTGATTGGCCAAAACTGCATTTGGCCACTCCCCCTTGCCAATTTCAGCCAATCCAGTGCTTTACCAATGGGAAAGCATTGGGTTAGCTAAAAATTGGCAATTCTGATGATGTCACCAAGCTCCGGCGGACCCGCGCAGCGCTGGAAATAAGGTGAGTTTAAATTGCTATTAAGGGGACTAAGGAGGGGCAAGCCACCTAAATGGTGGGTTAAACACTATAGGGTCAGGAATACATGTTTGTGTTCGTTACCCTATAGTGTTCCTTTAAATAAAATGTTTAAAATCAATTATAACTTGTGTTAAACTTTTTTCATGCGCAGTTCTGTTGTAAAATGTGCATTAACGATTAAGCAATTGACCCAACAATAAAGTTCAGTCCTGGCACAACCCGGGAGCACATTGAATAGTCTCACACAGTTTTTGTGCTTTTTTTTGTGCAATGTATTACATCTGTAAGGGTTTTATGTCTGCTAGATCTGTTATGGCCTGTTTTTTCACACTAGTGCCAAGTGGGATTTAAAATAAGACAATCTGGACATTTGAGCCTTTCAGGTGCATCTGACACACACCAATGGCACAATTGTAACTTCCTCAATAGAAATATACAAGAGAGGAGCATGATGCAGTGGTCATGGTGCTTAAATCCTGGGATATGATGGACCCTCTTTAAACTGAACAAAATGTTCTCATATTTGACCATAACATCCATTGCCTATCTAAAGAGCATAGAAATTTACTACTATTACAACAAATAGCTCCATCTGGAGTTGAAGGGTTCTAAAAAACTAATACAAAACAAACAATCTTGGATTTGCTACTGAAACATCGCCATCAAAAGAGCAAGTTCAGAATGTCAAACATCACTAGTTAGTTGTTGTGGAACTTTATTGGAGTGTAGCGCGATTACTGAGATGGCTGGGCTGTCATGAAAACAAAAATATTTCTAGCAAAATATGGGGTGTATTTCCAAGTAGCCTGGATTGTGACTTAACTCCAAATCAAAAGAATGGAGACAATGTAGACTAATGTCACTCAAAGTCGGGCACTGTGGCGGAACTAACGTAGAGCGGGCCCTGGTGCAAACATTTTTGGGGCCCCTGAAGGCACATAACCATCGAGTGGCACTAAGTGCATGGGCCACTCGATGGGCCACATCAGCGCATGGGCCACGGTGTAGCCGCAACACAAGCACCATGTAATTTCTCTGCTGCGCCTTCCTTATTACAGGAAAGACATCTTTTCATGGAAACTGGAAAATCTTTTCACGAGATACAAGACAATTTCTTGTGGTATTTAGAAGGGGATGTGGTGACATGTGTGTGTATAGAGGAGTCTGTTTATGGTGTACTATGTGTAACTAGGGGCTGTAGTGTGAGTACGTGCTCATGTATAGGAGATTTTAAGATTGAATGTGTGCTGATAGGCCCTGTAAAGTGTGTGCATGTGCATGTAGGGGCTACAGTGTGAGTGTATGTGTATTGGGGCTGCAGTGTGTGTTAGTCAAGGAGCTGTAGTTTGTGTTAATATATACCTTGCAGAGAGGGGATGGCACAATCAGATCCATGGTGGTACCCCTCTTCTCTCCCTATAATGAATAACAAATTAGAGTCTACAAAATGATATGATGTCCCATATATGTTTACTGGTTCTACTCATAAATGATATCAAATTTGGGCCAGATTATTTGAGAGTTACCCACATTCTAATCAACACTGTAATCCATTTCCTCCTCTTTGTGCCCCACCATATTCGGCAACCGGGGCTAGAAAGCATATTGTTTTTATGGTGTCCATTGTTCTTTAATTATTTACTGTGTGCCAACTACTGCTTTATAGTGTATCTGCACATGCCTATATTCAAATTTCAGGCTTCTAAAGTATTTACTTGATATTGCCAATTTATACTGTTTTTCTGTAATGTATCTTTAAAAAAACCTTAACTTAAAAAAAAATTCAAACTGTCATAATTTTCTCAATGATTCCAAAGAGCTAGTTTTAGACACGTTCAGTTCTTCCATTATCAAGACACGTTGGTCACATGAGATTGCGCATACAGATTTGTCATACTATTCAAAATTTGGAACGGATAATGAGTAAAAGAAATGTTCGGATTATGATGTCCCAATAGAGTGGCAGGCTCTTGGTCTGGGGGAAGATTTATTTTCTGTTTGTTTACTCTTCTCAAACCAAATGAAAATGGTTTCACATTAAATGGATGGACTGCACCCGTAGCTTGTGGATTGTCCCTTTAAATGCATTTTCTTCCTAGAGTTTCCATAATTCAAGGCAGGAATAACCTTGGCCAACAAGGTTATAGTGATACAATGTTACGACAACATAGCTTTTCATTTCTAGACCTGTTGAGTTAAATAGCAGTTAGTACTCAGATTACTATTTATGTTTATTTGTAGCAAAACAAACTGAGCAACATGTTCCATAAACAAGACTTAAATGGAAATGTATTACTTGCATTTTGCTCATATTTGATCAATTTGTAAAAAAAAAAAAGTAAAAAGCAAGGCCAGGTTTGTCAATATGCAACACAGACAACTACCGTAAATACCTGTACACAAAGGGCACCTGCCTTGACTAAAAATATTCACTTTCTCCCTTTTTATATATATTTTCAAGTACTTTTTCATTTTGCTACTTACTGGGTTATTTACAAAGGTGAGGATTACTAGGAATATAATGTGACTGCAACATGAGTTTTAAATTTAAAGGCACCAGTCAACACTGAAAAGGCACTTTAATAAGCAGGGTTACCGGATCCACCATGTTTTCTGGGAAACATATCATAAATACATATTGATGGGCTGCACATGAAATGGGTAGCCCTGTAATATGTAGAATTTAGAAGAAAGTGTATTAGATTAAGCCAGTGTTTCCCAATTGGTGTTCCCCGGAACCTTGGTGTTCTGCGAGAACACAAATGTAGTTCCGGCCAAATTTCAAGAAACAAAATGGCCGCGGTGTTGAAAAAGCACTCTCCCCTGCTCAGCGCCCTCGCGCGCACAGCAGTGATGCCGGAGGCGTAATATGACGTCAGTCTGGCTCCGGCATCACTAAGAGGCGCGCGAGGGAGCTGAGCAGGAAGATCACTGCTTCCTCGCCGCCCACATTGTACGCCCGCATGCCCAGACGCTCAGCAGACCCACTGGACCACCAGGAACACATGCCCAGCCACTCAGCAGCCCCACTGGACCCCATGCACCGCACATGCAGCCCAGCAGCCACACTGGACATAGAGACTCCTTGCCAGCACTTCCAAAGGTAGGGAGGCTGGGTGGAGTAAAATTTTAACAAAATAATAAATTGTATGTGTGTCTGTTAGGGAGTTTGTATGTTTTTCTGTGTCTGTCAAAGAGTGTATGTGTGTTTGCCAGTGAGAGTGTATGTGTACTTTAAAAATGAAAATCCAGCGCACTCCCCTATCTACTAAACAGCTACTTTGGTGCTGACCGATTTTGTTAGTTTTATTAAAAACACCTACTCTAGGCAAAAAATAATGGGGGTATAGTTACATTATATGATCATACATTGCATAAGCCTGCCACAATGTCAATGAACCCCATCTTTGGCAGGTCCTACTCTAACAGCCAACTGTCTGCCTAATGAGCTACTTACTTGGAGAAATCCTTCATGGCAACCGCTTCCATGCGTTTTCATAAATATGACAACATTATATGTCTCCCTGTAAACATGGTGGGTCTGATCAATCAAACCAAACTGTCAATCAACCAAGGTGATTCTCTTCGCCTGCCATTAGCTCCACCGAGCGAACGAAAGTGGCATGTCGAACAGAAAATCTGGGCCAGAGAAAAAGGGGAGGACTCGCAAAGACTGCAGAATTAGATCTGCAGCTTTTGCAAACTGTTCTCAGATATACCCTCACTGATAAAATATAAACTTAAATCAGTGAATGTTTTCATGAGGGGGTATATCTACTAAATATTGATTTCATTTAAATTTGAAAATCAATTAGAATTCCTGACATTTCTCACTTAGTGAGTTACCCTGATAGTATTTGCATATTTGTATGTGCAGAAGAAAAGAATGAGCGATTCGATGCTCTCATGTGTGTCCTGTAAGTAATAGAGGAAGCTACAAATT